GCAAAGGGTCTGCCATTATATTGTATCAATGCTAATAATGATCTGATTCTTGCAGAGGTGTGAGTAGGAGAGAGACAGAAAAAGAGCAATAAATATGCTTCCCTACACTGAATAACTGAAACATTCACTTTAATTAAATGTGTTATGTCAACAGATTTCACATAACTGTATTAGGTTAGTTGAAAGCAATTATAATGGGTTTAAATAGGTTCAACTTAACCTAAAACAGTTATGTGAAATGTGTTGACATAACACATTTAATTTAAGGGGATGTTTAATTTTTTTTAGTGAACCTGCCCACCATGATAGCTGATCTTGTCTCAGCCCATGAACCTGTTAAGCCCCATCCCCCCGCAGGCGGGGGGAAAATCGCAACATCTGCAAGAAACAGCGTCTGAGGGCTTCTTAACATTTAAAAACCTATGAATGTGTCATACCCACTTAACGGGAATAAACTCAGCTATCAGACAATATTAACCATTTTTAGCAAAACGAAACATAGGGGTAATAACAAAGGCTGTGAATTAGCCCTGAGCGAAAAAATGCTAACACCCTTAGCACNCGATGCTAGCGTTAGCATTTCTCCCCCGGGCTTAAATTGTGTATTGTAGTGTCCCCTTTTACACCATCATTGCACCGCCTCTGACTCCCTATCTCTCGGCACTACAATACACAATTTAAGCCCGGGGGAGAAATGCTAACGCTAGCATCGGGGATCGCCAATTTTTTGACTTGCAAAATTATCTTTTAAATTGACAAACATCGTATGTGTAATTCGTGGCACAATTCAAACAGATCGAAAGATAATCTTTCTCTCTCCTTTGACTTCAATACATAATTTTCTCGAAATAATGTCCCATGGAGCTCCCCCGGAAGGGGAGGGACTTCGCCACTCTATAGTGTTGGTCCACAGCGCAAACGTATCAGTTTAACAAAATCTGCATCTAAAACTGTGGCATAGATACGTTATTTTCCCCTGTGCAATTCTCCATTCACTCAACACCAACACATAATTATCCTTTTGTTTATTTATTTGTTTGATTAATAAACACAAGTTGGAGTCCGTCAGGACCGAGGGTCGGAGCAGCTCATAGTAGTTGCTTTAGAGAATTTTACACCCGGAAGTAAGTATTCTCTCTGCTTCGCTTACAAACCCCGTGATAGTCCTCAAGCTCTGTGATTGGATGTTTGAGTGTGCGCCGAGGGTTACGCCGAGCGTCGAACAACACTTTGAAATGGGATGGAACCACGGCAGACTGCCCAAAACTGGATTTGAACGGGTCCACCCCCTCGTCCACCCCGTCCCCAGAACTACAAATGTAGTAACTGTGTAGTAACTACACACTATTGTGTGTTTCGCAACATGTTCTATGGCACGTCTCTGCTGGGAATTGTAGTTTTAAAAGACGTTTTCATATTTCCCATAATAAGAAGTTGCCAGTATTAAACTGTGTACATCCCTGGAGGTTTAGGGGATAGGAAACACTCACATTTAAAACATATAATTAATAAATGGGTGAAAATTGCTTGTGCCCATAATGGGCAGCATTAATAAATAATTAAATAATAAATATAAATATAATATATATAATATAATATAAATAATATATATATATATAAATA